AAACCCAAAGCCCCCCAACTCCATCAACAACCGTCGCTTGGCAAATGAGGTGAACCAGTTCTACTGCCGCTTTGAGAGACAATCCGACACCATCACCCAAGACTCCTCCGCTCCGCTCCTGCCCCAGTCCACCATCCCACCATACCTGCAGTTTGTCTACAGAGCCACCAGGTCTGTAGACGATGCAGTAAACATGACCCTTCACTACATCCCCCAGCACCTGGACTCCCCTGGAACCTATGCCAGGATCCTGTTTGTGGATTTCAGCTCTGCTTTCAACACCATCATCTCAGCTCTGGCAGGACAAGCTCTCAGCTGAACGTGCCTGACTCCACCTGCAGGTGGATCACAGACTTCCTGACGGACAGGAAGCAGCACATGAAGCTGGGAAAACATGTCTCTGACTCCAGGACCATCAGCACCGGATCCCCCTCAGGGCTGCGTTCTTTCCCCTCTGCTCTTCTCTGTACACCAACAGCTGAATCTCCAGTCACCAGTCTGTCAAGCTCCTGAAGTTTGTGGATGACACCACCCTTATTGGGCTCATCTCTGGTGGGAATGATGGCTGCAGCGTGTCATTCAGTCTGCTCGTACATGTAAAAACTACTTTGCAATAAAAGCTATTCTGATTCTTAAAAGAAATTGATCCCTAGCACTACTCATGGTCAGAAAGTCCACAGGGCACCTTTTAATGATTTGGTCTATTCTGCTTCACTGTATGTCTTTGTTCTGTGGTTAGCTCAATTGTAGACAGGATTTGTCAGGTTAACATTCACCCCTTTCAATACCTCAGTCTTGGCATTAAAGAGTTTCTGTCTTAGGAACGGTCCCATCCTGTGTTTACCAGTTTGGTTCCACTTTATCTATAACGCTCCCTTTCAACTACTCTCACTTTGAAGGGCCCTCAGTGGGAGTTTGGATAGCATTTACCCTGCTTATCTCTTTGAAATGTCACTCCATGCAGAGCCAAGCATTCCCCTTTCCTTCAGCCCTTGTGTGACTCGGTGAAAAGTGCAACTTAAACTAACTGCATTGATTTGGTCTGACAGACACGACTTTAGTAGTGTTTGTGTTGCACTGTGCCAGAGTCCCTATAGTCCTCTGTAAAATGTCTCTGACTGTGCCTAAGTTATTGTGGTAGAGGGGATAGAGGGTGGCAGCTACGGCTTTGTGTGTGTGTGCATGTGTGCGCCCTTGAAGTCTGTACTGGTGTGTCTGTTTATGTGAGAGGCAGGGCTGCAGTGTGTTTGAGAGATGTAGGTCACGATGCCTTCCCTGTTTGAACAGTACAGTAAACTTGGCAGATTTCCTGAGATGTGATAGACTCTGCCTCACTTTACCCTTTCTTCCTCTCTCGGTCGCTCTCTCTTGTCTGTCCTCCTGTGGTATGTGAAAACACCTTATCTGTATGTGCTGTCCCTGCTGGGACTTTTCCCAGAAGTAATTCCCTATCTAAACACACACACAGACACACACACACACACACACACACACACACACACACACACACACACACACACACACACACACACACACACACACACAGTATGTCATCGTGCATCTCAAATGAAACCATCAACTGCATGCCACAGCTCCGGCATTTCTCCTACAAAGCATGTAACATCACTGTACACCAGGAGGCTCAGTGTGATGGAAGCTGGCACGCTACCTCACACCCCAGCTGTAAGCTTGGCATGGAGGCAGCGCGCTGTCTGAGAACATTACTTGATAGATTGTTTGAGGTGGATGTTGGGGATGACTCGGCTGGTGTTTCCAACCCATCTGCTGCCTTTTATCCCAGTTTTACACAGATGGAACAAATTCACAGCCTCTCAGGAGAATTGTTAGAAACCTCTTACTTATACAGAAGAGAAGTTGTAACAATCCTCTGTGCAATAAATCATGTGAACCAGTCTTACTAGAGCTCAGTTCAGATAATGGAAGAATGATTTATTAAAAGGACTAGTTTGCATCCCTAATTTACTTCATTAACCTCAGCTCCATGGTCCCTCATTTCAGACTCCTCTGAAAACTGAAATATAATTATCAGGATGTACAGTACAGGACAGAACTGTACACCAGTTTAGTCTAAGCTTGTACCTGATGTTCTCAACCCTTGACAAGTAGATTAGTACTGACATACAGCTAATTAATATTACTTCCTTACTAATTTAGCTAACATTATAAACAGCTAAAAACTGCTGTACAGGGGAGATATTAGCTAGCGTTGAAAGCCTTCACTTTGGGGAGTTGGGGAAACTACAGACTTTTATTAAAGGGGACCTATAATGCTTTTTCATATTTTCTAGCATTTCTATAATGTTACAATGTCAGATGTTCATATTAAACATGACCAAAGTTTCAAATGATGAGGTAAAAGTATTAAAAAGAAATCCCTGTGAGCCAAAACCTCAGATATCCCCCTGTTCTGAACACTGTTTTGAACTGTTTTTTTCTACTAATGGCTCAGGTATTTCCAAAAATGGTCATTTGCTCCAGGCAGAGCATGCTGGCCACGCCCACAAAGGAATATGCAGACCTATCCCAGCAGCAAACTGGTAAACACATTAGACAATGGCCAATCAGAAGACAGTGGGCTCTGGAGTGGGGGGTCTCAGAAACAGAAGCATAAACAGCTTATTTCAGACAGATGCTGAAATGAGGGCCAGCATGAAGAGCCAGTATAAGGTAGAAAATACTTTTTTGAACTTTGAATCATGCAAAGCCACCATACAGGAGTCACAGAACTACAATATAGGGCTGGAAATGCAGTATAATAGGTCCCCTTTAACGGACACACTGTGACCCACACTGCACGTTTACTAGCAGGAAGAAACTTGTAGATAATATTTTTCTCTGCTAACTTTCATCGCGCTATCTCTCTCTCTCTCTCTCAAAATTCTAATTAGCTTTATTGGCATGAATCTGTAACAACAATATTGCCAAAGCATCATACATACTACATAAGAACAATCAACCCCATACATTTCATTAAACAAGTAATTAAAGCGTAAACTAATCAAAGTGTATGTGTGTTTGTGTTAAAAAATAAATAAAATAAAATAAATAAAACAAAACAGTAAGCGTGTCTCTCTCTCACTCACTGTCATAGCTGGCAGTAAAATCCTCATTGGGAACGTTTGTACAGTACCATTTTCTCAGCTCGCTCCAGCCTCTTACAAATGCAGTGACCTTGTCAGACAGCATGTTTGTGTTTGAGCCTTGAAGGGACACATTTCCTCTGCTAATCTCCATCACTCCAGGTGTCTGTGGATTTGTCTCATTGTAGGAAAAAATTTAACTGTGATTCTTGTCTTCAGTGCATCCTGCTTTTGTGTCCTTACATAAAGGAGGAGTCGCTAATGTTTTAGCTGCCTTCTCTGCAGTTGCTGACGTGCTGAGCATGGAGGCGTTCAGCTGTGTGTTTTGGCTTTAACACAAGATTAGTGATGGTTTTATCAGTGTGGAAGGTGTTTAGTTAAGAGATACCTCTTTACTTCAGCTATCGGCTTTCATGTACAAAAACACTCAAGATAATGCCAGACATTCCATATTTCTGGCGCAGTATCTTAATCCCTAACGCATATCTCACTTTCCGGTGATCTAAGGTTCAGCTTGAGCCCTTTACCTACCTTGCATGTAACAAAGAAGGTATTTCTGCATCTTATTCCTGCTCTTCTTTGAAAAGGTGCAAATGTCAAGTATGTAAATTCCTCCTGTCTGTAACATTTAAAGTAAGGGGGCATTTGAGAAAAAACTATCCACAGCCTCTCTAGCTGTCGTGTTTGACCAGCCTTTCTGTGTTGCTGTGTCTCTTCCTGCCTGCCAGTCTGTCAGCTCGAGCCACCTGCAGCTCAGACAAAGGTGAGCCTGATGAAGAGAGGCGGCAGGTTGAGGAGGGTCAAAGATGGAGGAATTACCTTGGCTCATCTTCAGCAGGCTCCTTGATTTAACATTACTGAAAGAATCCCCTTTTTACTCGGCTCTTGTCCTGCAAGAGGCTATGAAGACCACCACACACACCGTTACGCAGGTGTAGGTATGCTCAATCGACTCTAGCGGTGGGCAGTTCCATATGATAAAAAACCTTGACATCAGGTATGATAACATTGTGTTGCGCAGGGCAAATGAGGGCTTGCCCTGATACTCTGTGGAGATGGTCACCGATGAGTAGTTCACAATGGTAGTGGTTCAAACAAGATGACGGAGTGTAGCTGGAGTCCTTCTCTTGTCTCTCACCAAGATCTTTGTAATTAGCAGCAATCATGAGTGCAGCTTGCCATGACACATTAGTAAACTGAAATAAAAATATAATATATTGGCCTTTGTTTGGTCTTTCAACAGGAGGTAGACACAAGAACTATCAGGTGGAGGTGTACGACAATATTACAGTGAGCTCGAATAAGTGCACGTTAAAACTGCCGATTTTGTAAACACTTGTGTTTTGGTGATCCAGGAGTCTGTTAAAAATCATAAAATATGACTCCATTCTGTTTCTAGGGATCTCTAACTGTAATGTATGAAAATGACTGAAGTATTCTTCCAGCCGTAGTCACCCTCTTGTCATTTTCTCTGCTGAGATGCGGGTAAGTAGAGCAGAAAACATGTCTCTCACACAAAACAAAGCTTGTACACAGCATCATGAGGGGAAATAAAGATTTAAGTGTGCGTGAGGATGTGTGCGTGCAACACATCGTGTCTTGTTTGAGAGAAGTTTCCCCCTGAGCTGATGGCACATGACTGTGAGGCACTCGTGTGTGTGTGTGTGTGTGTGTGTGTGTGTGTGTGTGTGTGTGTTAGTGAGAGTGAGAGTGAGTGACTGTTAGATCACCCACTCACGTCACAGCCTCACTGATGGGAAAAGGTATTTTCTCCGTGTTGGGTCGGATAATTTTACGACAAAATAATTCACAGCTAGTCTGTATTGTCTAAGCATCACATTCCTGCACAAGGCTAAGTGGTCGCTATGGCATACACTTAATGAACGGAAAAAGCAGTAAAATGTTAACAGCAGCCCCATTCTAATCCCCTTTCTTTTACTTTCCCTCTCTCTCTCTCTCTTTCTCCCTCCAATTCCAGTTCTGTCCATCCAGGCCGCTGCCATCCAGTTCACCAAGGAGCCCAAGTCCCAGGATGCCTTGCACGGCCGTAGCGCCATGCTACGCTGCGAGGTCAGCGATCCGGCTGACATCAGCTACGGCTGGCTTCACGACGGCCATCCCCTGGAAAACAGTGAGAGGCGCTTCCAGGAGGGTAGCAACCTCAAGTTCACCGCTGTGGATCGGCAACTGGACGCTGGGAACTTTGAGTGCGTTGCAAAAAACTTGGTCACAGGAGAGGCACTCCACTCCACCAATGCCTCCTTCAATATCAAGTGTGAGTGTTTCATTTCTAGCCATTCTCACCCTCTTTCTTTAAAAACAAACAAAAAAACAACCCCTCGCCAGCTGAAAGGGTTTCATAATGGTGACAAGGGTGTGCATCCAGTTTCTGGATCAAAAACGCAAAACAAAAGTCACAGTATAAGATGACAGGTAGTATGAGCTGAAGGAATGTTTCCACCTTGTTGGCTTGTTCTTTGTGGCTTCCTCTCTCCAAAGGAAACTGGATATGTGTGCCACCGAGCATGTGTTTCTTGTTGCGTGTATCTTCCCTTTCTCCGTTGTGCAACACTCTCTCTTTTTCCCATATACTATCAAAAGGCTTTTGTCTGGGAATTACTGAGCAGTGCAATTAGCTTTCTAGCTATATAATTATTTAGCTTTAAATGAACACTGCCCTTCTTGCTCCAGCTTTTTATTCATGTCAGGCTTTTCACTTTCTTAACGTTTTGTCCCATTATGGCGAGGCACGCTAGTACCTTAATTTTGTTGTTTAGCCCCATAAGCAAACCTCAATGACCCTCTTAAGTTTCAGAGGAAGCCATGGGAATTCTGCACATCCCCGTTTGGGATAAATAACAACCTTGTTCACGTATTGTGGAAGGCCCTCAGGTACCAATTGTTACTGAAAGGCCTTTGTGTCTTACAAACACAGAGTTTGTACTGCTGGCAGTAGAGAACAAAAAGCAAAGCAGAATGAAAAATGGCTCCATCTGGAATATGTTGTCCTCTCTAGCTACATTCAACAGGGAGGTCCTTCTCTGTGGTGAAGTTACTTGTTCAAAGGCTGATTACAAGAGCAGATGAGTGTCCAGACCTCCTAGTAGCAAACTGAGAGACCTACTGAGAGGGACGGCCGGAAGGAGAGAGCAGGGGTTTAACCCCTGCTCTATGATGTGTCTCGACCAGTGGATATTTGTGGTCTGTGATGTTGAACACAAACTCAAAATGATGGAAATTTTAGCCAGAAAAACCAAAGAAGCACATCCGGTTTGAAACCATGTCTGATCTGAAGGAAACTGCTTTTATGTGATGCAATTAACATGATCTAGTCTGTCAGTAAAGCCCAACTGACATACTCCCACAGATTAAAAAGGAAAAAAACAAGTTAGACGCGAAGGACCAGTTCTTAAGAGCTGCCATCATGACCCAGTATAAACTTATCTTCCAGGTCCTTAATATTCCCACGCATTAGAAAAAGGAGGCTTACTTTTATTGGAAGTAAGGGATTGTATTCATTTAAAAAAAAAAAATTTCTTGCTGAACTCATTTAATCATGGAAATGTATATGGCCACTAAAGTGAGGTAATATATTTGTATGCCTTGCGCTCACACAAATAGATATTTGGAAAGAGTCAAAATATGGTGGTTTAGATTTAAAATAAAGTACAGCTTGATTACCAGTGTAGTTGCAAGGCTTCTTCTCGTCTTAAATGTGTCACTAAGTTGACCAGTTTATCCATGGCGTAGCAAAGAACCTGCTTGCTGTTAGTTTACATTTAAGGAGGCCTTTGAAATTGGCTGCTTGAAGAGGCTTTTCGCAAATCCACTGTGATGACAGCAGTGTGATCCTGGGTAAACTGAAAACACATTTTTCCCTTTTCAGATATGACATGCAGTTCATCAAGCAGATATGAGCAGCAGATGGATAGCTGAGGGGCAGATGTTAATGGATGTAGCGTTATCAGTGCACTGTGCAATAATAATCTGCTAGAAATTGTAAGATCAGTAGCTTTGTATCAGTTTAATAAGAATACAGCAGCATGAGCGGACTCCCCAGAAAAGAAACCACCGATAATGAGAAACAAGATCATTTATTGTAAAGCACACACTTCTCTGAATCACACAAGGTGAAGTAGCAGACAGTAATAAATCATCCATAAACCCTTTTGTATGCCACATCTGTATGTGTATATCATCGCATTTATATCTCTGCCATAATGCGCAGGAAGGCTGGATCCATAATCTGGATCACTTTAGGTGGATCGGATCATGTTACAACAGACGTTCTCATATTTCCCCAACATACATTTAACAGGCGATAAAGCTGCACGCAGCTTAAAAGTGAAGGCCCCCTCTGGCATTAACCCTGCATGTACGTTCGCTCATGTGTAGGCTAGTTTGCGTGCGTAGTAGTAAATGTGGGTTGTAAGGGGGGTGGGGTATTCCATATGGACTGTACATGGACTGTACTAGACCAGATTGCTCCCCCTCTGCCTCCCTCCCGCCCTGTTCAGAGAGAGTGTTAATTTATCTTGTTTTCAATGGTGGGTGGGCAAATCCTGCCAGTTGAGAGTTATTTGGAGTAATTATCCCCCCTCTGTTTTCACTAACAAAGGTTTTAGCCGCCCCTCCCGCCCTGTCACTGTGTCTCCACGCCGAGATCGCCTCCAGTAGTGGGGTCAGGCTTAGGCACCACTATTGTCAGCATGTTTGTTGGTCCTGGAGGCAACGCTTCGCTTGACTCTCGGTAACAATATGCAGACTGACTGACTGTTTTGGAAAGCGATGAAACAGCTGGTGGTAGGAAGAAGGAAAATGTACAGTAGAAACACAGGCAAGCAGGAAATTTACCTGCATATTTAATATTACTAATCACAGAGCTTCTTGCACACAAGTACACACACACACACACACACACACGCCATCTTGGTTTAATCACCCAGCACGTGTCCTCGTGCTCAGCGGATATATTTTAGAGCATCCTGACTGACCTCCACTCTTTCTCACATCCTGTCGTAATTCCGGCAACTTTTTTTTCCTTGTCTTTTGTGACAACATGCAGCTCCTCATGCTTAATGACCCAGGCTCCATCATTCAGCTTCTCCCCTGCAGAGTGCCTTTGGTCAGGTGACTTTTTTTCCCTTTTCTTCTTCCTCTTTCTGCCGTGTCACAGCAGCAGCATCTGGCCTGTTGACCTCTGTCAGCCACAGCTGATAAAATCTGACACCTCATCTAAAACAGCAAGCTGAGTCCGCCATGCTTTTCCCAGGACTGTCCTAGGTCACTTGTTTTAAAACAAGGTTTTCAATGTAAAGCCACTCAGCCACATGTTTTAGTTATTTCCATACCCATATGGTGCTGTCAGTCAAATCATATCCCTAGCACTCCCCTGGATAACACAATCCACCCTGCCTCTCTGTTGCAGAAACCCTTCTCCATGGCAACAAATCAGCTCATTGAGTGAAACAGACAAACACACACACACACACACACACACACACACACACACACACACACAACTGTCTTTTGCTACGGTGAGCGATGAATGGTCCAAGCATCTGCCTTGACAATATCCTCACAATTCATCTGTTATCATTCCCGTGTTGATGGAGCTTCCTGTTCTGCCTCCAACATAATAATTATACACCCCTAATTATGGCTTTAGCTGCCAGGCCTGCTCCAACATTTAGTCATACATTCTGAGAGGGATTACAGTGAAGTATTTGCCACTAATAGGTTATGAAAGAGTGCCTTCTGTTTGTCGAGTGGACAGCTGGAGAAACCTGAACTGTGAATGGAGCTGTGAGCGGAGTAAAGGGTTAGAATGTGTGACTGTCAGGACAAATTGGTTAAAAATGTTTTTAACCTGATGAAGAACCGAAGGGGTCAGGAGCAGTGTTGGACAAGTTAATCAGAAATTGTAATAACTAAGTAATGTAATACTTATTGCTCCTTAATAATATTACTTATTACTAGGTGATGAAAGTAAGTTACATTACTCATTATGTTATTATATTACTTTCACTACCCCCCTCAAAAAAAGCAGTCTCTCTCGAATTTTTAACTACTAATACTACTAATATATTTATAACAGCAGCAAGGATTATGTTTTTTTACAAACACATAATGTTTCTTAAGCCACCGGCTGAAATAAAAAATATATATAAAGCAAGTAAATCCCAACTTTTGAACTACTGTTTTTCTGCTCATATTGTAGTTATAAGAGAAGTATTCAGTGTTTATACAAAACGTTACGTTGCCGAACGCCACGCTCTCCCGACGAGTCTAAGCATCACTGGCAGTAGTGATCAGAGTTTCTTTCTAAGTTTCACATTGCTGTGCTGCTTTAGATGTGGTTAAAAGTGGTTAAAATCGTTACTAGGATTAGTAACTGTAATAATATAACTGTTTTGGAAATAATAATCCATTACACTACTAGTTACTGGGAAAACGAATATTATTACTGTAATATTATTACCGTCCAACACTGGTCAGGAGTGGTAGAAACTTTAGACAGCCACAAGGCTGTGTATGTGTCTGTGTTGGTAAGTGCTCATTGTTCCAATGAGTATCAGGTCACAGAGGTCAAGCAGTGTACCCTTCACTGTGATGGCTTTTTCCTTTTTTATGTAGGTCTTGTCTCTTCAGCCATGGTGTCGCTTTACGCTCACCCTACTACCACTACCCACTTCTTTTTGCTTTTATTTCATACTCATGCTGCTGAAATGTAAAAGATTTCTTACAAATATAAAAAGGTGTTTTTCCCAAGCAAGACATACCAGATACTGCAAGGTTAAAATCTGTAGGTTGAATAATTATGATGAGTTGTTAAAATTCAGGTTGACAGTTTGGGAACACCCACCTTTTACTCGAGGCTTGTTAAAACAACTTCTTTGATTTCGTGTATAAAATGTCAGCGATACTGCAGGTGACACTTGTTATTCCATCAAACTTTTTCTCATCTCCCTCTCCTCCTCCTCAGTGACTCACTGTTTCCCCTTCTAGTTTTGTCGGCCCCTTAAGCTTCCACTGCACTAATAACAGGTCTGTCTGAGTGTCTGGCCCCAGGTACCTATAGCTGGGATGGCCTTCATCACTACCTCCTTCTCCTCCTCACTAAGCTACTGGAGCTATTGACTGGGATGGCCTTGACTGCGAAACACAACCAATTAGCATTTTCTGCAGAACTGTCAAAGAGTACATTTGCAGGCGTGCATTTGTGCTCAAGGGCACAGCATCATCAACTGTGTTTCCCTCCTCAGCACCACATATATACACAAACAATTATTTCTAACAGACACATAAACACGTTTGTTCCACTGTAGAAGGATATACACACACGCTTAACAGTTGTTCTGCGCATCTGCTTTAGGAGGAAGCTAATGAGCGATGCCTGGCACAGATGGAGAGATAAGCAAGAGGGATGGAGGCCATGTTACTATAGAGACCGTTTCCCATGATCCCTCAGGGTGCAGAGCATTGCCAAGGCGCTGTGTAATTCATTGTGACAGGTCTTCCTCTAGCGCCCACTCTGACCTCACAGTGGTGCTGCGTCCCCCCCTCCTTTCACTCCACCGCTGTCCCAGGTGGAGGCTCATGCCATGCATATTTCATAGATGATCCAAACAGCAGCAGAGATGCAGCCACAGTATTCAGGCACAGGTCATAATGAAGATCAGCATGATGGAATGTCCCACACTGCATTCACGCACACAAACCAAACCAAACAATGGACTCAGGAACCAGGGCTGCCCAAACAAACATGCTCTCTCAGCGAATGGATTTCAGCACCCAGTTACCACGCCGGGTGTTCAGTTACAGCATGTCATGCAACCACAACTTATGTATCGTCACATAAATAACAATTAGCCCTGGTTCTCATTCAGTGCAAACATGAAGGATCTGTATAGTGAACACGGCAAAGGAAGGGGAATTCCAGGTACACTAAGGCTGTGTTACAGCCAAATCTAAGGTGTTGCTCACCAAAGAGAGAGACAACTTGGGTCTCTCTAAATAATAGTAGACTTTGGTGTGTATCTAACTTAACAGCAGGCAGTGATTTTTGTCAATGTCTCCTTCACATCAGATTTGTTTGGCTGACACTGAATATCTGGCTACACCAAAGATGCTTGGCTTACAGGAGACACCACAGTCCTTTGTTCATTGAAAGAGCGATGATGCCTCACTAGTTTCATGCACTGAAAAATGATCATATGTTACCTGTTCTTTTAGGAGAATGTACGAATTATTGGCTGCTGCGATGATTTCTTGACTTACGTATATATCAACTACATACAGTATATCCCTGTGTACTTGGTCAAACCCTTAATGGCAAAACCACACTATCCCTCATTTCTCACTGCACCGTGATGCATTCAGGGGACCACTGTGGATCAATTTCCCGCCATCTGTGTCCTCCTTTTGTTCATCTGTCACTCAGACACAATGGATCGGGTTTCATGTTGCTTGTGTGAGTGATGCCTCTCATCACTTTGTTGCGACATTAGCCCCTTCCACGATGCAGTGATGTGGACTTCACATTACGTTTATTAATTTAGCTGACGCTTTTATCCAAAGAGACTTACAATTGCTATATATGTCAGAGGTTGCACGCCTCTGGGGCAACTAGGGGTTAAGTGTCTAGCTCAAGTAGATGCACCTGATCAGGTTTTGAAGAGGTTGTGAAGGATGACCTGTTCCTGCATTTTCAAAATTGTTACTGGGAGGTGCCATGGCACAAACGTTAAAACATGTTTACTGTTGCCTAGTTGCTCTTTTCCCTTCTGCCTATTTTTATGGGCTGCTCTGACAGCGGAGTAGCCGTTTTAACAGAGTAAGTCAATGAACTGTCCATTAAATGTCCATAAAAAGCACTGTAAAGTCCCAGCTTGCTCCTGTAAGTGCAGGGCAGTGGTACGCCGAAGTAAGCTGACCCAGTGATGTGGTAGCTCTCTGCTGTCTTAGTTTCTGAGTCATAGTGCTATCATAGGGATGTGCCCAAGTCCCTGCTTACCCCCACAAGCACTTAACTCAATTTTTCCTCCTGTCTTTCTCCTCAGTTATTCCTCCTGTGCTCCCTCCCGCTAACATTCTCCTCTGTTTTTCTTCTTCTACAGGGTTAGAAAGTGGTGGTGTGACTTTAAAGGAGCCTGCCTCAGAAGGGGAGATCGAGAGCTCAGCTCCGGTCACGTTGCGCTGTCATATTGATGGACACCCACGGTGAGTTTACTCCACAGTCACCTCAAGTTCAGAGCTCACGGGGTTAAGGATCATGTTGAGGACTGTACTGAAAAACTATTCTTCTGTCCTCGTTGGCCTCTCTGATGCCCTTTATGTTCTTCTTTTCCTATTCGTCATATTTCCCCCTCTCCTCACCTTTGGATGTCTTCTTTTTTGCCTTCATCAATCACCCGGCTCTTCCCCATTTTTGTCCTTACGTCTCTTAAACTTCTGTCATGCCTATCCTCTTTAATCCTCTTAAATCCTCTTCTCCCTCTCAGGCCGACATGCCAGTGGTTCAAGGACGGGGTGAAGCTCACCGAGAAGAGCCATCAGATCAACAGCAAGGAGAGGACACTCACCTTCAAGAGTGCCAGTCCAGACGACAATGGCCTGTACTACTGCTGTGCCAAGAATGCAGCCGGGCACGTCTGCAGCAGCAGCAACTTTACTCTCAACATTATAGGTGTGTGGGGGTGTGTGCGCTTAAAAGATGGTGTATTGAGCTTATATACTATGCCACTCTAAGTGCTTGCAGAGCTGCATCTAATGGTTAATTTACTATAGATGAAGTTACAAATTATTTTCTTGATTGCTCTTCCCATGAGATACCTTTTAGTCCATAAAATATCAAATAGTGAAAATGTCCCTCATAATTTCCCTTGAGTCTTAAAACTCAAATATATCAATTTTACAATAAAATAAATTAGGGAAAATCAGCAAATCCCCATGTTAGAGAAGCTAGAACCAATTATAATTTTAGCATTTCTGCTTGAAAATGACTTTAACAAGAAGCGATTTGCTTTCAGTGAATCTTCCCACATTTCCACACCTGCCGGTAAGTGTGGTGAAGAGGATGCGGCGGCGGTACATAGACCATTAGTGATGACAGAGAGAACAGGAAGAGAAAGTGATGGAGTCCCTAATGTGATTACCAGAGAGTGTGTTAGCACCTTCCCACTCCACCACCCACACAGACAGAAACAACATCATAAATATCTACCGAGCGAACAGTAACATCAGCTCCCTCAGTAGCAGCGTCATTCTGTTGATCTGACTGCGTAACCGTAGCTTTCACAGACAGTTTGATGTACTGTGTTGTATAAGCAGATCATTCTTTTTTCTGCAGGCTCTCAATATAACATTTGGTGTGTGTGTGTGTGTGTGGGGCACCCCTCCTGTGTATTATCCCCTCAGTACATCACAGACTTAGCACTGTCCATACAGCCGCACATCTGTGCGAGAAACCTGATGCCCTGTTCCACTCTAATTAGCCACCTGTAACACACACACACAAAGGCACGCTAGGTTAGCACCTGGCTGAAGGAAGGACGGATAATTGTTGAGTTTCCAGTTACCATGTTGCCACCCTCCACTCTTCTATAGAGCTTCACCTTAAGGAAAGGCTGACAGATTTAGACAGGTTTTCAATGCACGGTCACAGCTCTTTAAGCTAAAGCCTCCATGCCGACTTCCTGGGTGGGCCATGTGTGCTCTGAGTACACGCCTTTCTTTTTCTTCACACCGACCAGTAGCCATATCCTAATGCTGCTGCTGGCACCATACCTCCATTAGCTTTTCAGATTTGAAAATACTCACACGTAAACCTTGATTAAGTGTATTTTCATGTTCCCGTTTTCTATATCGAGCTCAATGCCCTTCAGCTTTGTATTCTGAGTATACCAATGTCCAAAAATCTGTGTGGTAATTACTCCTCCTATAGGTTTTACTGTACAAAATCTTTAGTTTTGGCAGGTCAGAGCAGCCTAGTCCAGTGTTAGTCAAAGGAGGGGAGTTAGAGGGCAGGTCAAACGTATGTGAATAGAAGGAAAATATTATGCAGTTAATGCATGTTTGGGTGATTTGAAATTGTGCAATCATCCTGCAACCTCCATCGTTAAAAATACAAAATGTCCAGCGTAATTAGTTTTTTACCTTTTTTAAATGATATCAGTTTGATCATTCAGGTACAGATTTGTCTTGTTTCCATATCAGTCGACCCCACTTGAGTCCTTCTAACCCCAATTTCTTGGAATAGCGTGTCCTTAGAGCATCACAGAGAGGCGAGAGTAAAAAAAAAAAAAAAAAAAAAGGAGGAGATGATGGTCCAGATAAGCAGCAGAGTCTGCTCACTGACCTCATTATGTCTCCCTGAGAGGCCCCTGAGGTGTTGACACACACGGCCACCTGAAGGCTGGTTGCTCACCGGCGACTCGCTGCTGTTGGCAGCTTTTAATAAAGCTCGGAGTAGTGTGGTGCGATGGTCAAGCAGATGGAACTTGATGGTCTGATGCCTGCAGATGTTTTCTATCCCTCTAACAGATCAAAGTTTTCCACGACCAGTGGTCACTCCTAAGGACCAGGTGGTGTTGAAGAACGAGGAGGCCATGTTCCACTGCCAGTTTACTGCTGTGCCGGAACCCACGCTGGAGTGGTACCACGAAAACGAGCTGCTGGCAAACAAGTCTCGGTATGTTGAGAGCTAAATCATTCTCTTCTCTTTCTCTGAAAGAGAAGTGAGAGGGGGAATTCTCCTCTTTCTCTGAAAGAGAAGAGGAGAATTCCCCCTCACTCTTTATTCTCGGACTTCCCTCTCCCTCTCACTTCCCCCACATCCTGCTCTCACTTCATTCCCTCTCTTTACTTACCATTACATAAGCTTCAGCCGCAGTCGGGTATTCCTCTGAACTCATTGAGGTGGAACCTTTGCGTTGGGGTCTCAGCTCTGTGTATGCTGTTACAACTCACGCTCAAGACCAATTGCACATTAAGGAATGTTATTACTGAAACAGAGAACTGTAAAGTTTCTCTGTGGTCTACTATACATCACTTGAACACAGCCTTTCTCTCCAGCCTATCACGAAGGACTTCACAGCTCTCCAGCGTTGAGCAGGAAAAACCCCTCAAGCTACAATCAGCTTACCAGCGTGTCCCCTATAAGCATAGAGGCACTAGATAATAACCAATTTCTATACCGAGTGCCAAGGATACCCTCAGGGTTCACAGCACCTCATGCTTATACACAGTCCCATCATAGGCAGCCTGTTCTGCGTGGAGAGTGAGCCCCTGGTTTTCGATTATTTTAAAGTGATTATGTGTTCAGTGAGCACAGGAGTTGAATGACTCCACTATCAATAGTTAGTCACTTGTGTAATGAGCTTGTCAGAGGTGGGTTTGGTCACCTAGGAAGTGATGACTCGGCACCAGGATTGCAGAGGGATGAGTAATATAGTGTGAACATAAACACACACATACAGACAGTCTCCTTTAAAAACCTGTTTGTAGTTAAGGTATTCCAAGGCAGCCCGGTTTTCTGTTTGTTTGCGTTTATTGATCTGGGCTGATATAATGCCAGAGGAATGCAGCTCTCTGCAGGGGATATCGTCTGTTGTCTGCACCTGCACTGTAAAACACCCCCCCCCGATTATGTGTGAATACTTGATGTAGGTTGTTTCTCATAAGTGTGAAACAACTGTAAAATATAAAAACGTAAGCTCAAGGCTATTTTTGCAGACAGAAGAAATTCTGCCCCATGGGTCAAACCAACTGTGGAGACAAAATGTGAAAGATCCCATGTAGCTAGATGATGCCATAAAAAAACCTCTTTGTTCGTTTTGTTTTGTGGTTATTTCAGACCGTTTCCTCATGAGTAAGGTAACGTTCCACAGACTTGTGGACTCTCTCGGGTGGAAGCATACACAAGCTCCCAAAGCTCATTTCCCTGCCACTACTGAACAGAGAAGAAGAAAAGAGATGACACAGAAATATCAGCCCTCCTGAGGGAATCCAGTGCAGAACCAGATAGTCCTGGATGAATCCTGCTTTTGGAAAACTCTTCTCTGGAATTACACAGCACCCTAAATGCATCCAGCAGTGCCGTTTGCTTATTCCTCTCTGCGATAGATAGATTGATGGATAGATAGATTTACAACATATATTTACAAATCTGAGATGGAATGACTTTCTATAACGGTCTTTGCTACTGCGGAGTTGTAGGAGTCTCCAGCAGAATATAGCACTCTGCTGCCCAACCAGCAGGACCAGCAAGTTGTGCAGATGATGTGAAGTGTTGTCCATGATGTTAAACAGTTTGTGTAACATTCTTCTCTCCACAACCAACTCCAGGGGCTCCAGAGCAAACCCCAGCACAGAGCCAGCCTTATTTAGTAGCCTTATTTAGTAGCTTGTTCAGTCAGATTAAATTTTCCCATGAGCTTTATAATGACTTTGTCTTATATAGTCGTGATATGTTGTCCGACCCGTGGAGCTGGTTTCTTGGCTGTGGGGGATGTGCAACTTCTTGTCTGTCATCCCTGAAGCTGGCTTAAGGTCAGCCTTTAATTACTTCTCATCCTGTCCATCACTGGCACTGATACTCCCTCCAGCCTGCCAGCCGTCAGGATGGGCCTCATAAAGCACAAGATTTGTGCAAATGAACTCACTATGTAGGACACTTTCTTTGTGCTCTGTGGACAAAAAAGCATTTACTTTAACCTATTTGGAGCAGCAGATGGTATGGGTTTAGTGAATCAGGGCAATTTAGATAGCACATGCCAAGCACAAAAAATAGGGCTATTTTAAAATAGCCAAAATTTTCTGGCACTCATTCCATTGTCTCAGCAGGCCAAAACAAATGCTAAGAATTATTTTTAGGGGCCATCTGAGAGCGATGTGGTGGTGGTTGGGGGTTACACATTTCTGTGACATGTGCTTTCCTGTACAAATAAAGAGTGGCACATTGTTTGTTTGTCAATGATGGTGAGACAGTAAAAATGAGCAGAGCCAGAAGTGTAAACTATTTCATCTGTTTCTTCTCCACAGTGTGATCCTGTTCTCCAACGGCACACTTCTGATCACCCAGGTCAAGCCCAGGAACACAGGGACCTACAAGTGTGTTGGCAGTGGCATCAGAGGGTCCCCTGTTAAACTGGAGGCCTCCCTCCTCATAGCTGGTACACACACACACAAGCGCACACACATTTGCAGTTGTTAAACTGGTGAGAGATAAACACCTGTGATTCTGTAATCTGAGTGTGAGAGGGGCATTTGGCTTACATATTTATCCTGCCCTCCATCTCTTTCTGCTCTTTCCTCCCTTCTTCCTCTGGCTCTTTCACTTAGAGCCAGATCCCTCCAGTGATAATCACATTCCCTTATTGACATCCGGCCCAGCTGTATCCACTACACACACTGCGCTCGAGCATGTTCCTGCTTCCCCTCCATATTATTTCCTCCAACCATCCAGCTGTTTGCCAAGCTTGTTTAGCTCAACAAGCTCTCTCCAGAGTATAACTGCTCCTGGCTAAACAAGCGGCAAAAGAAAAAATTAGATAAGAGACCAGTATGACTCAAGCTGGATAACAAGCAGTGTGTAATTATGAGGTTGTGAAATGTCATTAGACGTGCCCCTGTGATTTTCAGTCAAAATGTACTTGTCAGAAATGACTACTTCCAAATGGGCAGATGTGTTAAACCAATTTAAAATTATAACAAAACATAACAAAAATGAGTTTGTGGTTATGCATACAGGTTAGAACAATGTAATATATGTATATAAGTAATCGAAGTCCAGACACATCAAAGTTGTTTTTAACATTGCACATACTGCACCTGCTCTTTTCCTGTTTAATGATGACGCCAAAGGGAACTCCTTTTAAATTAACTACTTAAATAGCTGCTGGAGATTAAAGCTGGAACAATGTAGTAGTACTGTCGTATCTTCTCATCTTACTAATCAGCCATCATTTTGAAACGCAAGTACATGCAAGTCAAATATTTTGAATAAGCTCAGGGCTGGAATTTCTATGCATTTCACAGTCCCAAGTACTTTATTCCTCCCGAACAGCCTGCTTTTCCCCAAGGGTTTTGGATTACGAGGTACGACTGAATGTGCAGTTTTAACCCAGTGAACCACAGCTCCATTTAAATACCTTAATTCACTTAATCTGATGGTAATCCCTGCAGGCATTATAGGGGATTGTGTCACAGTAGAAGTCAGTATTTAGGGACAAGTTTAAACACTCACTTTATCGTAGCTTCGTCTCATTCACTTCGCTGCCCTCCCCCCACCACTTCTCTTTCATCTGCTGAGAAATGTGTTTTCTTCTGTTCTCATTAATTGATTTAGATCTGAGTCGTAGAAGGTTGAAGCCACTGACCAGCTTTCAGTGTGTTGTCGGCCAATACAGTATTAATGACTTCCATTTGGGAAACACAGTACTGAACCACACAGTAGTGGGAGGTCTTGTGAGTCTTTGTACCACAGATCACATTCCACTTTCTGTATAGGGTCTGCCAGTTTTGATATGACCCACCTCACAGGCCCCAGTTAATTCCCATATAACCTATATACTCACTTTGCCTAGTGTGCGCTTTGTTCTCTAATTACTGTGGCCCACGCTACAAATCAGAGGACCTTTCCTAACAAGACAGGAAATCTGTGAACAGAACTGTGAGCTAGAATTAACTGTGCTGGGGGCTGTTCATGAAATTCAAAATCAGACATGCTTCACTGGCTTTGAAGACAGATGATTATCTGGGTTCTTCTGTAAATGGAAATCAATTTCTGCATTCAAATTGCCGCTTCACGCTGAGCATTCTCTCTGCTCTCCACTACAGAGATAGAAGACATGGTGCTCAAGATGTCGAAGGTTTTCACAGCGGACACCTTCCAGCGGGTAGCCTGCCCGGCCCCCCGTGGCAGACCTGAGCCCAAGGTCTGGTGGGAGAGAGCAGGTCAGCGGGTGCCCACAGAGGGCAGAGTGCACCAGGAAGGGCTGGATCTGGTCTTCAGACCCACAGAGGAGGGAGATTCAGGCACCTACACCTGCGTGGCCCAGAACAAGGCAGGGCGCAGGACACTGGAGGTCACCTTCACTGTGGCCAGTGAGTCATACGCAGATGGCTTTAAAGCGACACATAAGTTCGGTTTATGTGTCACAAGGAGACTCTGTGAAAACGGTTGAATAATGCCTTTTACAGTTAAACAAAAAAAAAAGCCTGATTATGTTACACTCACACTTATGTACACTTAGCCACGTTCTTTAATTTCAGGATCATGGTGCGAACACTGGAACCAGAGACACAGATAATAACTATGTTTAGACTGGCCAATGGGCCAAGCTCATTAACACTTTGTGTAGTCCTGCCATATGGCTGAAGAGATATATGTACTGTCTGGGTACGTGAAGAATGTCTGTGCTGATATAATGCATTTTCTGTGTGTGTGTGTCTACAGCTGCCCCAGTGTGGGTGGTGAGGCCTCAGGACAGCCACTTAGAGGAAGGTAAACCAGGTTATCTTCACTGTCACGCTCAGGCCAACCCTGAACCTGAGGTCACCTGGCTCCGCAACAACATTGTGATCACACCAGAGGTCAGTCAACACACACACACACACACACACACACACACACAGAGTGTTATACACTAGATCTACACCTAGCAGAGGAAAACTCGCCTAATATCTGCTTTTTTGTGTGACATAAGAGATTTCACTTTAAAATAAAGACTTTTTTTCCCCCCTAGGACATGCGTTATAAGCTGTTCTCTAACGGCACCCTCAGGATCAACAATGTGGAGGTTTATGACGGACAGATATACGGCTGTGAAACCAAGACTGATGGCGGCCGACTGTCTGGGCAGGCTCGAGTTATTGTGCTTGGTAAGCTGTGAGGGAATTGCTCAGTTGATCGATATATATATATATATATATATACACAGTAGATTACACTTTTCTTACTGAGCATGTACTTGAAGTTATTCCCCTGACTAACTGAAAGATAACATGTAACGAGTGAAATCATGTCCAGTGTATAATGAGCAACACAGCATTGAGAGAAAGTGTAAAACAAATGTGGCCGTGCCTGTGGGCTTGTGAAGTGTGAATGTGTGTGTTTCCTAAAATAGAAAGAGCATGTCCATGTTGTGTCTCTGGGCGTCCTGCAGGACACCCACAGAGGTGTAAAATATGACTCATGCAGCTTTATTCTAGCCTCCATTTTTAACACATTCTCTCCCTGATAAATTCCTATCAGCTTGGCTCTGCTTCTACAGGATTACTGATAGATGGCCTGACATGTTGCTGTTTTGTCTGGACACTCTCTGTGTTTGTATGATCTCAGCCTCTGATATACCCCGTTTTTATACTCAATCAGATTTGTGTGTGCAAGTAGCCACAATCCCCTGAATGTGTCTGAACATGATTTGTACTTCATCTAGTGTGTGAGTTGCACAAAAGAGGCTTTGACATGTGTCGCGATCCCCCCTCCCCTCCTCTGTGTTTACCACATGGGTAATGTGCGTGTGTGGTGTTTTGACTTGTGTTTCAGAGAAGCTGAAGTTCACCCCGACCCCCCAGCCTGCTCAGTGCCTTGAGCTGGATAACAAGATCACCATCCAGTGCTCAGCTAAAGGCAGACAGATCCCCACCATTCGCTGGATGAAAACAGGTGTGCACGCCGCTGGCTGAACCTGAGCTCACACTAGTTTACATCAGATAAGAGATTAACTGTTTAACACTTTCTTAAGGAAAGATCTGCAAATTAACAATGATCACAACTGCTGTTTGCACAAGAAACATGCGCATAATCTCAAACAAATAAATAAAATGCAAACAATACAAGCGTGAGGAAGATTGATCATCATCATGGATCATTTCCCCGGTTCATCTGTGTTTGCCACGATGGAGTCGATTCAACCACTTGAATTCCGCATGCAGCACCAGGCTCAGCCCTCCTAACCCCCTCAACCCCTTCCCTGCGCCTCTCTGTCTCCCCCTGCAGACGGAGGAGAGCTGCCGCCTCACGTGGAGCAGAGGAACGGCCAGCTCCACTTCACCAAAGTCACCCGCAGCGACGGCGGCAACTACACCTGCTTCGCCTTCAACAGCCTCCAGGGGAATATCACAGCCGTGGTGACCCTCACTGTGGCCGGTAAATCACTCACTCATCGTCCTGGAAGCAGGCAATTATGAAAGAAAGGGTCACGCCACCATGTTAGCCACACATTAAAAGCGCTTGTGGTGTGAGTACATTTAAGGGTGGTTTTATGAGGAGACAATCATTGATCATTTTCATCAAGCGACAAACACGGCAGCATTTATTGTGTTTTTGGTGGCCTTTTTATTGGCCAGTAATGAATTGCATTTGGGTTGTAGAGACTGTTATGGCCCGGTTGTGGTATAAGTGTATTAATGTGCGTGTGTTTGTGTATATGTGTTTGTGCACATGTAGTGTACATTCGCTTTAAGGTGGAACCAGAGAATACAACGGTATACCAAGGTCACACAGCCATCCTGCACTGTCAGGCAACCGGTGACCCCGAGCCTCACATCCACTGGATGGTCAAAGACAAGATGCTGGACATCAGTAAGAACGGGAGGTAAATGAGACACTCCTGTGTCTTTTTAATCTGTTTTTAGACAGCTCAAACATCGTGGACTGGGATTATAGTTTCTGATTACATGTTCCAAACAGGGTTGATTTAAGTTTCTTGTCTATATAGTGATATAGTATTATACACCTGAATACAATGGGGCTCAAACCAGAACGTTTGTACAAACAGATCTGTTTTTAAGTGTCACATAATAGTGACTGAAGATAACTTTGTCACATTCACAAATGCTCTTGTACTTTCCCTTAAGTGTGCATGAAATTCATGAGTGGTTCATTATGCAGGTGTCTGTCCAGGTGAACATCCTCTGTTAAAACACCTGACAGTGTAGCATCACCTGTACATGTACAGTTTAATATTCTGTCGTCCATCCGTCGTTCCTTCAACATTCCCCTCCCTTCTTTCTTCCAGGTTACAAAAGATGTCCAATGGCTCCTTGTTGATTAAAGACGTCACTACAGATGACACCGGCAGATACACGTGTGTCGCCGGAAACAGCTGCAGCATCAAAGACCGCGTGGCTCAGTTGTATGTAGTTGGTGAGTTTAACACATAGCATATTTACGCAGGCTTCCTTTATCATGAACAAAGGTGCATGTGTGGGGCCGCCATCCCGAGTTAAGCATGAAGGCATTAATTAAACCTTCACCCTCCGCCCGTCATCCATCTCGACAGGTTAATAACCACAGCCACATCTCTGATGCCACGGCCGTCATTGAGGTGATGGGATTGGGCAGACATTAGATCTAATAACGCTTCACACTCTGTGGCTCCTTGTGTGCTGACTGAAGCTGAAAATTACAGTCACACACTTGCATTAGTGGCCCACATCAAGTTGTTTTCTTCCAAAGTAGCAGGATGGTATTCATGATTAGTTCAAAGTAGGAGACAATTGAATTTAGACAGATGTTTGTCGTAGCTTATCAGGGTTAGCGTGACAGCCCTGCACGACAAAGCCAGAGTAGTAACTGTGTGAACATTCAGTGCATGTACCTTTTTTATTAAATAAAACAGATAAGGGCTTTCAATTTGAGCACAGTAGTTTGTGACAGTTTTAACTAAGCAAATCATAACTGCAGTGGATTTGTTACACAGTAAACCACATCTGATTCAAAGTGACTTGCATATTTGCATCTTGTATTTCCACGTTCACTCTTGCAGCTCTTATTTTCAAATGCATTTATATTTTACTTTAAAACTGATACTAACTCAACACAATGGAAAGGATATGTGATTTTGATTAAAGACTTGGATGTTCTGAAGATAACACATCCTGTATCTCAGAGCATTTTTAGTTTTGACCACAATTGCTGCCTGTGCCCAACAGACAAACCAGTGCATGCCTTTGATGAAAATGGGGACAAGGCTCCTTACAAGATGATCCAAACCATCGGCCTTTCAGTGGGAGCGGCCGTGGCTTACATCATCGTCGTGCTAGGGCTCATGTTCTACTGCAAAAAGAGACGCAACGCCAAAAGACTGCAGAAAGGCCACGACGGAGAGGAGCCAGAGATGGAGTGTCTCAATGGTGAGAATGTTTTAGAATCTGTGGTCAGGCAGTTGTAAAATCAGCCAGGCGGTCAGGGGAGTAATCGATGTTCCATCAACTGGTCCTTGAGGCATTCTGGAAAGTTTTAGGATATTTGCTGCCATCTTGTGTTTATCCTGGGTATTACATGTAACATGTAAAATGCCACAAGTTCAGATGCATTTGATGAAACAGTCCATAGTACACACTTACTCTGAGCAGAGCTTGACTGTGTAAGTGACTCCATGAAGTATATTCAAAACAGTCAATATGCATGCGTAAAACCTTCATTTTTTTTCTGTGTGTTGGTGCACCACAAGGAGATGGAGAAGCTGCTCATAGCTGGAAAAAATCTGGATGGTTACACAAGAAATTACATTGTTTTTGTCTTTATGGAATTTAATTGTTTGTGACATTCCTAAGTCGCTTTTTGACTTGCATTCGACAGCTCAACTACTAACTGCAAAGACAGTATACTCTGAAGATTATTATATAGTACTTACTGTAGAACGTAGTATGGCATTGGGACGGAGCAATAGTGTAGGCCCCCATTTTTCTCATACAACATCCCACGTTACTCTATGTAACTTCTAAACAGACTCTTTGCTCCACATTTTAAACTTGTTCTTTGTTAGACATCCTCTTTGACACTTCTTCTCATCTTAGATTTGGCTGAGTAGAGCAACAAGTGTTGGTTTTGTTTTTTGTTTTCTTAACAAGACAATAATGAATAGATTTTGCACTATTTAGATACACGTGTCACATTTAAGGATGCCCTTTGATGGCCTTTGAGATTTGCATTATGTCTTCGACATGTCTGTTGACCCTGTGGGATGTGTGTTGTGTTTTTTCAGGAGGGGCCGTTCAACAAAACGGCCACACCACTGCTGAGATCCAGGAAGAGGTGGCACTTACCAATATGGGTACCATGGCAACAACCGAGAAGCGCCACAGCCATGTGAACAATGATAAGCTCCACTTTCCTCGAGCGAACTTACAAACCATCACTACTTTAGGTAGACTGACTGTCCTTTTTATGAACTGAGAATGAATGTCCTTGTGCTCTGCTCTAATGGAACGTGACCTGATCATAAAGCTATAACAGAATGTAACAAGATGTATCACATTGATTTTTGAGCGTTGTTTGCTCTCTGATGTGCGAATGTTCATTCAGGTAAAGGGGAGTTTGGTGAGGTGCTGCTATGCAAAGCTAAGGGTATCGAGGAGAGCGAGGAGGAGACGGTGGTGTTGGTGAAGAGCCTGCAGAGCCGAGATGAACAGCTCCAGCTCGACTTCCGCCGCGAAGCTGAAATGTTCGCCAAGCTCAGCCACCCCAACGTCGTCCGCCTGTTGGGCCTGTGTAGGGAGGCAGAGCCCCACTACTCGATCCTAGAGTACTATGACCTGGTAATCACTCAGAAATAGAAGCACACACACACAAGGACTGAAGAAGTGTATATGTTTTTTTCACCTGATATAATGTTCCCTTCTTTTTTATCACACCAGGGAGACCTAAAGCAGTTCCTGAGAATTTCCAAAAGCAAAGATGACAAGATCAAATCTCAGCCTATCAGCACCAAGACCAAAGTAAGTGTTGAATGCTGGTCATCTTAAGCGTATAAAGATTGCTGATGTTTTGTGTGCCAGTTGTGTTGTTTCCCATTCCTTGACAGATCATGTTCCCTTAAAGCAATATTTAGACATTTGGGAGAACACACTACACACATTTATCTGTCTTGCTGATAGTTAAGAGGACCAGTGCCACGCTCATGTCTGGACGCTAAATATGAATCTACAGCCAGGAGACAGTTAGTGAAGCTTAGCATAAAGACATGCAAAATGGGGAAACAGCTAGCATGGAAAAAGAATCCACCTACCAGTACCTCTAAAGCTCACAAATTAACACATTACATCTTCATTTAATCCATACAACAGCCCAAGTGTAGAAATTAGAAAGCCATGGTTTTACTGTTACGTGCTGGACAGTTTCTGTGCCAATGACTTCCTCGAGTTGTGTCACTGTGATTTTGCCAGGCAACCTGAGTGTGAGGGGAATTTTCCTTAGGGGGGCTCAGTGTGGGTAAAGGTGAGGTATGCGTCATACACATGTCACATTCAGGCCACTTCCAAGCTGTCTTTCTCTGTATGTGCATGACTGTGAAAGCTGGGTAGATTAGGAACAAGTCATTGTCTAAGCAGCCAAGGACAGGAGATATGGTGTACTTCTTCAATCTTAGATGTTTACAGACTGACTGTCTGCTTAGAATGCAATACATGTGACCTCCAGATCCCAACGTGACTTACATCCAGTAGGGTGGCTACACATATTTCGGCCAGTATAGAATGACCTTGTATGGAAGACATCATAGATGTGATAGCATAGGGATAAATATTGTGAACCAAGGATGAATCTTAAGATTTGTTTGGTACTACACTGTGTTCTCTCCCTGCACTGCTGTTGTCACTCTCCCTGACCGGCCGTCAATAAACAGTGCTGAAACCTTCTTCTTCAGTTGACTCACTCGAAGGAATTTCCACCACACAGAGGAGACATTTTTCCACAGTGTTGAACTATTAGTATTATCAAAGTGACTTTACCTTGACAGTATTGTTTTTTTCTCTTTCCCCTCAGGTTTCCATCTGTGCCCAGGTGGCTCATGGGATGGAGCATCTGTCCAATCACCGTTTCGTTCACAAAGACCTAGCCGCCCGAAACTGTCTGATCAGCAGTCAGAGGCGTGTGAAAGTGTCGTCGCTCAGCCTCAGCAAGGACGTCTACAACAGGTCTGTTAGAAAACTTGATTTATAATACTCACCCACTTTAGTCTCCAACTACAATAAATGGCTTGATTCAAATTCTGAGATGTCCCTGTTCATCTGGTTAATTTTAGTTGTTTCCATACCCTTGTCATTTCTCTCTAGTGAGTACTTCCACTACAGACAGGCATGGATCCCGCTGCGCTGGCTCCCAGCAGAGTCTGTGTTTGAGGATGACTTCTCCACCAAGTCTGACGTGTGGGCCTTTGGAGTGTTGATGTGGGAGGTGTTCAGCCACGGGGAAATGCCATACACCAAACTCAGTGACGATGAGGTGCTGGAAGGTCAGTATGACGCTTTAGCTGCTTGTTTTTAGTCCAAGTCCTGATTCAGCCCACAAGATGAGAAGGTCTTTCAAGATAAAAGATGTCCTTATTGGTCATTAGATTTGATTTGGCTTATCAGGTGAATGTAAAATAGAGAGGTGGTGTGCTATCAGTTCTCCAGGGAAAAATCAAATCAATTACATCATTCAATTTCACAACATGGAATTTTTTCTGTCAACAGCCACATGTGTGTGTCCATGTTCCTGATTTAGTTTAACCTCCTTCTCTCTCTCTCTCTCTGCCGGCCCTCCGCACCTTTAGCTCTGAAGACAGGGAAGCTGAAGCTGCCCGTTCCAGACGGATGTCCTTCCAAAATCTACAAGCTCATGGCTCGCTGCTGGGCGCTAAGCCTCAAAGAGCGTCCCTCCTTCACTGAAATTGTCCACACCCTGGGAGAGCTGCCCTCTGACAGCAAAGTCTGAGTCAACCATAGCCCCACATCAGAGGGGAACTTTGAACGACCCCCTTCCCCCAAAATATAGACAGGAATGCTGGATTATTAGTCTCACACATTTCAGGGAAGAGGGTTGAGGAGAAAAACACTTTTTGTATATGCATTTCAAACAGTGGACGTGTGGGTAAGACTTCTTTGCTACATCAGTGGAAACGCACTCACGTTTGTGTGAATGGCTTCATGTGAGCAGTGGCAGGAGTTTATGTTTGCCTTAACCGCAGCATGGATGACACTCCCCCCTCCAGTCACTGTCTGTCGTTCCATTGTAACCCTGCCTGCCCGGATGCAGCCGCTCTATCCCAGAGACACTTTGTTTCACAGAGCCTCACAACCTCAGTGCCTCTACCCCCTCCACACACACACACACACACACACACACACACACACACACACACACACACACACACACACACACACACACACACACACACCCAGCTATCCAAATGCTCTGTTGGGATGTTAGATACAGTGCTTTCACCGGCTCAGATCAATAGAAATTATTGGTCAGAAGATTAGGAACATCCCCGAAATTTAGGTCCCCTGCTCTGTCAAGTCCTCTGTATTGAAAGAGAAGTTCTCACTTCTAATGTGACTTCAGAGGAGCGTTGAAGCTTCTTAAATATTCTGTGTGTTGAGTGAGATCGTTTCAACGGGTCTGTTAAAATTCAATTGGTCTGCCACTCTAATCCTGAAGGAGACGCCTAGCTACTCAGGCCACCAAGGACCCACCACCGTCATCCAAAGTGTGTGTGTGTGTGTGTGTGTGTGTGCACGCGCATGTGTGTGCGGCACTGAACTGTTCCCATGCTACAGTGTACCTTCAAAGAAGAAGTGGAATTGGCTTTTGCATGAAGGTTCGTCGTCCGTTACACTCGTGATTTGCGACATAAGAAAACTTGTGGAAAAAGTAATCCATGTTATGGTAACACTTCAGGAACATTTAAAAAAAGAAGAAGAAAAAGATCAAGTTCATAGCCAAGGAATATATTGAATAGATGAGATTGTGCCAGTGTGGGCTCTATATGTTTTGCTGAGTATGTTCTGTTCTTGTATTAACTTTGAGGTGCTTATTGGTGACCACCCATGGGTAAGAATACTCATTATACCACATTAACATGATCATGTCGTGTCAGTTGCAGTGATGCAGCCTATCACTGTGTTTAACCTGCAGCATTTTGTCAGAGGTCCAATCACAGTTTCCCTCCCGGTCCAATTGTTTTGTGCAGCGCTGCAAAGTGGACCATCAGTCCACGCAATGTGTACATAATGTAGAAGCCATGCACTAACTTCACTTAAAAGAATATCCCTCTTTATCTCTATCATGTTGTGTAGTAGGACATGCAGGTGCCTGTTTATTTATGATGAAGGTCCTGTCTTTTTTTAACTATGTTTCTAATAGGAAGGTACTTCTCTGATGCTATGTAATCATTGTCATGGTCCATCTCGGTGTGCGTTCAGTCTGATAACCAGCTGAATATGCTAACACAAAGTACAAAGGAGGTCAAAAGAGTGACTGCTGGTCACCAGTACTCATTTAAGTGCCTGGTAAATGAAGGATTATCTTAACTGTTTCCCTCTTTTCTTCTCATTTTTTTTACATTATCTAATCAAATGCAATGGCCTTTGTTTATGAACATGTTTTTATACATTGTTTTTAGTGTAATGTTTTGTTTTTATGAATGCTAGGCACTCACACCTAGACCTTTTTTTTTTTTTTATCTGCTTCAGCAAATGTTCACAGTAATCAGATATATATACAAAAGTATACATGCTGCTGTCAATAAAGGTCCACAGTGTTTTTACCCAGTGTGTTGTGATTAATACTGATAGCAACACATGTTCAAGAACCCCGTGTGTGACTGTTACGGTTTGTTTTCCCCCTTCTTTAGTTTGGTATGAAAATCAACTTTCAGTGATTTTAAACTTGCATGACATAAATCATACTGGGACATTTTTAGCCCAAGTTTGTGTGGTAATGCAGTTGCAAGCGGGGACCACTTTTAAAACCCTTCTTTGTTAATGTATACAAGAAAACTCCAAAATTGGGATTTGGCTGCTTACGTTTCGCATTCCTGTTGGTGGGTATCCAAACTAATTAGAATCAGTTTTATTGCCAGGTATGTGTACACGAATTTGACTCAGGATGGTACATTGCTCACGATGTGCTTACTTATACAATAATACCTTAACACAATAATAAAATAAGAATAAAATAATAAGATGCAGTGAAAAAGATCATGGGAAATTGTTAGCTTTCTTTCTTTCAAAAGGTTGCTCAACTGAAGAGTTTTCATGAAAGCTCTTGCTTTTAGCTGCAACACCGCACAATAAAATGTTCAATAAAAATAATAAGATGACGAAATGTTCACTGAAGCAGATTAACTACCTCAAACAAGCCTCTGCAAGTTGATTTTCATGTGTGTAAATAGCAGCTGCCTATAAGTACAAAATCAAACTTAGAATTCCTTTGAATAGCAATAGTAAAAAGAGTATGAAGTTTATATATTTAATAGGCTGTAATACGTAAACCCACCTGTACTGTCTTGTAAAAGCCCCTACAGTCTATTTTACTGTTGATTCAAAAGGTTCTTTCATTAACCACTAGAGGGAGGTGTATATATTCTGTAGGTTTTCTGACCCTAAAGGCTTGCCAAATATTTTTTTCCATATAATTATGTTTAGAGTTGAACATGCTAACATGGCCTTTTATAGCTGCAAGAGAGGATTCCCATATGAGTTAGGAGTCCATTTTGTCTTGGATTAGTGACAATGTTCTCCTCTGAGCTGATAATTGTGTGATTATTTTTATTTACAGGCGACTTCAGCAGTTGAATGCAGTCATCATGGGTCAAACTTTGAGTGTAAGACGCCTGCTTACAGTGTAGCCTATGAGGGAGCTTGGGGGCCTGCTGTAAGTATATAGTGATGGATAAAGAGGCTCAACTTAAGATTTGCACACAGAATCATGGGAAAACAGCTTCTCATATCCTCAAAGCCAATTCATAATGCACCTTTTTGAAGTGTTTGGTATGTAAGTTCTATTAATACAGTGTCTGTAAATTTTGCATACTTATTTGACAAACTGAGGATGAGTCTGTGCATGGATCTTAAAGTCATTCAATATATTAGTGATATTGTGACAACCTTTTTCCAACATTTACTCATGGAGCTCCCATGGTAGTAAAAACCCATATATTTAAATGAAAAATCCCCTAGCATCTTGCCAGCAAATCTTGGATGATGAACCATTTTCAAATACCATTATATGTGGCATTTGTTATAACCTGCCTGGAGTGCCAGATGTGTGGGGTGTACCGCCTCATTGCAAACACATCAGGTAAATGTCTTTTGGCAGATCTTCCTGTGAAGGTCCTTCTCCACAGAAGTCATTGTGACTTGTCAGAGTAGGAAAAGCACAGGTGTAAATAATAGTTAATGATGGCTGAATTTCAGTTCGCTTCTTCAGGTCCGGGGGCCTGGTATTGTGCATGTTGGCTCACTGTCATACTGGGACACTTGACTAGAACTGAGCCATCAAGTGTTATTAGTGACACCCGTGCTTTCCTACAAAGACAACTTCTAATGTCTGCTATGAACACTATGCAGGGTTCCAACAGGAATGTGGCACAGCAATATGGGTAATACAACTTGCATACAGGTTTCTAAAAAATGGTTATTACAAATACTTAAAGACACAATGAACAGTAGTGTTGCAATTCTTCAGAAAGTTAGTGTGAGGCACGCTTCCTCTTGAAGGTAATTAGTGTGTGATCATTGAGTATATTCTGCTAGATTTTTAGGGGAAATAGATGCATGAACATAAATAAAGTAAAAACCTATATATGTGATTGTTAGAATAATTTGGGTCCTTTAGTAGGCCCATATCACAGCCTGAATTAATGTAAGTATATATATCCACCAACAGTAATACATCACTGTACAAAATCTCATCTAAATTTAAAAAGCAATTCCTCTTGACAGAATCGTTTCAACTGTTTCGGACAACACTGGTAAATCAAGAGATATTCTGGCATAAAAACTTTGGGAAAGCATGATTTGTGGTATGACATAGTAGTCTACAATCTGGGGGGGTGGGTTGGATGTTTTGTTATTTTGGTGCCTCTGCCCGTCCACGGTGACGTTGTCGGTAGCGCAACCATTTTGGTATTTATTCCAATGAGCATGCCTTATCGACCAATGACCGCGCTACTCAGATAATCCTCAGCCAATCGGCAGGCGACGCTGTGACTCACCAAATAAGGAGAGACAGCACCAAATAAGGAAACATTGTATCTCTTTATAAGGAGGGAGGTAGTTCCTGTATTATAATATCACTCCGCGGACGTAAACGTTGTTCTGAAATAACATGTTTTAATGCGTCCCTGAACAATGAAGAGATAAATGTTGCTTTATTGATGGCGGAAAAATGACCAAATGGATGCTAACAGGCAGTCACTAGCGTTATTTTCGGCTCACAGTGCGGACTAGGCCACGTAAGATGGCGGAGCGACATGGTGGACGTTCTTCGCGTTTTCCTTTTTGAGAAAGTGCACCGAGTTTTGGAAATAGAGGAGGAGGGTGAAACAAACTGATCCGGGGTTGAAGGGTCTTGGGGGCAGCATCACTTTCGAAAGTTTGTGTCGGTAATTTCCTGGAGTCTACAAATCGTCAACTGGCCTGGTTTGTTTACATTTTGTGGCCCAGGCGTGTTATCAGTCGTTTACGAAACAACGCGCTTCCAGCTCGTTTGGCTGGTGTTCTAGAGACTCGGTCCAGTAAATAGAATGTTACCGAGCCGGGTTGGATCGGCACCATCTGGAAACGGGTCAGCTTCTGGCAGAGGTACCACAGGACACGGTTCGGGGGTTGTCGGCAGCGGGATCCGTCCCGTTTTGGTCAGAGCAGGGCAAGCTTTACCGGGTGTCAGCGAGAGCGCCGGTGCTGCCGGGCGACAGGGGGAAAGAGACGCCGCAGGGATGCTGGGGGCTAATGGTCCAGGGGGTCCGAGAGGTGTGAGACCGGGGAACGGTGCTGGGTTGAGCCCTCTGCAGACCGCCATCCAGGGCAACATGGTGGGGTTAAACGCGGGAATTGTGTTGGCTCAAGGAACCAGGTTCGATCCGGACAGAGAGAGCGCTCCTCTGTGCAGCGGCTCGGAAAACGACTCGGACTCCGGGGACGATGATGACCCCGTGGGTTCACTCGGGGACAGCAGGAGAGGGGTGAAGCGGGAGAGAGCGGAGATGGAAGCTGCGGTGACTGGGCAAGAGGTGGGAGTACCTCCCGGAGCTTACGGCATGGTGCCCGGAGGGGTCGCCGGGGCAAAGCCGGGGAAGAAGACACGTGGACGCGTGAAGATAAAGATGGAATTTATTGACAACAAGTTGAGACGATACACAACTTTCAGCAAGAGGAAGACGGGCATTATGAAGAAGGTGAGTCAGGTGATTTGGATCTCACCCAACTACAGTAACATTTTATTTGAGTGTCACTTAGATGTTGATGGCCTAGATATACTTCAGTATGGTGCTGTGTAATTATTCATAACAATGAGGTCAATAACCTGTACAGATAATACCAGTGGGGAATGCTGAATCGGTAATTCTATTAACCACAATCAAGACAGGAAATGTGGTCAATAGTGGGCTTACATTATATCCAAAGGACTTATTGACTTGCAGTAAATCAAATATCGGTTTATTCTAAAAGACAAACAATTGTGGCACAAACTGAGTCACTGGATGTGATGAAGCCAGAACATTCAGGAGAGGAAATGTGCTTTAAATAGACTTGAGCAAATGACAGTTCTATTTATGACCATGCCCACCCCAGCTATCACACAGACACACACACCTACACACTCAGATTTCCTGACACACTCATGCACACCTTCATACACCGACAAGGCAGGCCTAGAACTGTTGGAAGTAGTTCCCATCAGTAGCCCTAAGTGCACAGGCTGTTCTCTCTCTGTGTCATTGTGAAGCAGGGCTTTGCTTGCCAGGCAGCATCCATGTGGTGGTGAGCAGCAGCGGGCCAGGCCTGTAGGTGCCAACAGCTGACTAAACCCCAGGGAAACCGATCAGAGGACAGTCAAAGAGCACTCAAACAGAAGAGAGAAGCCGGGGACTGTCTGTGCATGCATTATGGCAGAGTACATTTTGATGCAGCGATGACTCGTCTTGGTTTCAGTTTTGTTAGCTGTTACTGTCTACTATGTGTAGTACCAAAGCCGATATTTCACTGGAAATCCACCATTCACGCATACAGTTGCATTAGTGACCAGGCATTTCACATGTGGCATTTCCTAAAGTTGATTATTTTGGGAAGAGGTCAGCCAGTGAACAGAAGCCCAGCAGTTGTGGCCATTTTTCATTGTGTTGTTAGCCACGCTTTAGTTACTGTGAATTCTGCTTTATTTATCTTTTTTTTTTTTTTTTTTTTTTTAATGCATCCTGGACTGTTGTCGTGGAAACTGAGGTGTCTTTATGTAGGCTCTTGGCAGCATGAACACTATTTGACACACTGTGCGGATGGGGATTTTTGAAAATGTTGCCCACACTATGTCAGCCATTGCAGAAATTGACAGGTGGGTGGAGTGGGAAGATTCATAGTAGACTGGTCTCAAACTGGTGTCTAGTATGAGACTAGTTTCATGGTGAAGGATGTGGTGAGTGACGCATAGGAGTTTTGTTCTGTTCTTCTCACCTATAAGCTTTAGGTTATGTGCTTTCTGTCACAAAACAGCTTGTTGCCTCAATTTGCGGCACTCAGTTAATACTTGTGTTTTTTGTTGTTCCATTATTTATCCAGTAAAATGGCATGTTTTCATATTTGCTCTTTCTTTTACTGTGCTTAATAGGTTGTTTTGGTGGCAGACATTTTGACATGTCATAGCAGGAAGAGCACCGGTGTTACCAATAAAAAAGTGTGGCTCAGTTCCATTTAATTGCCTCAATAAGACATGCAAGTGAGCCAACATGCGCAATACCAGGGCTCTGAAACTGTCTCTAATAGATCAAATCCAGACATTATCAATGTTGTGATTTACACCTGCGCTTGACAGGTCAGTCAACTAATTTAGTAGATTGATAATGATTATTTGGTTGATAAATATTCACTGCCGCCAGCTCTTTCATGAGAAGGCTCGCTGCTTTTGGTTTTATAGCATTTTAAATATAGTATTTGGGGTTTTTGGGCAGTTGCACTTTGAGCTAAATAAGGACTCACGAGCATTTCTATTAACTATTATTTACTCAATGATAAATTTAGAAAGAAAAGGGGAAAAAAAACAGGCTTAATCCAGAGGGAAAATTATCATTAGTTGCAGTCCATCACAATTTCCCAGAGCCTAAGGTGACCAAACCATCCTAAATCCAGTTATTCAATTTATAGTGATATAAAACCGAGAATAGCACCAAATCCTCACATTTGAGAAGCTGGAACAAGACAATATATTTGCTATTTTGTCTTGATAATTGGCGTCAGCCAATAAAAGATTATCAGAATTGTTGATTCTTTGTCTGTCAATCAAGTAATTGACTTATTTTCAGCATGCAGGTGTCTTTGCAAAGCTACAATTTTTGAATTTGCAACGTAACAACTACAGGAGTTGATGAGGCAGTCCCAGGGTTTTAAACTAGCAACTGTGTAATAACAAGGTTCTAACTACCAGCAAACAAGATAAAACCTGAAAAAAGCCAGTCATTTTTTTATTGTTTTGAATTACAACCATCTAAGTTCATGCTTGGATATAACTTATGCTCCTTCTTTATTTGATACATAGGCTCAACTAGGATGTTTTGTGTGACAGAGGAACCACTTTGGAGCCAGAATTGACCCTGCAGTCATGAATATTAATGAGAAAATCCTCAGAGCAAGGAAACTTATTAAGGCGTTGTGTAGGTCTAGTTTGTGCTGCCGCCGAGTACACTTAAGTTGACAAATTAGTCCTTTTCTGCCTTGGATATTGGCCAAACACGGGGCTCTGTTGTTCGAGACCATTCTGTAGCTGCTGCAGAGCCAATCAAGGGAGAAGGTAGTGGAAAAAGGGTGACTGGAACTGTGTAGTTTATTACATGGATCTGTAATGCTGCATTAGCGGTCAGTGAGGTGAATTGTACAACCAGCCAGAGATTCTCTTTAACACTGTTCTTCAATACACACACACACCAGAAACCTCTACATAATTAGGAAGTGCTCAGGTGAAACAGGTGAAACAGCCACTAAGCAGTAGTTGGTCATCATTAGCCTTCTTGTGCCCTGTTGTCATATTATATCACACAAAGGGCAATTATATGATCGGCTTTAGCATGCAGCCAGATACACAGGACTGGACAGATACGGCCCATAACGAACACACTGTTAGAGTGTGATGGAGTAGACCAGCATGAATGCATGGTTTTATAACAGCTCAATATAATCCTTTAAATTTGAATGTGTTTCTTCTCCTCCTTGCTCTGCCTGACATGAGTATTGCACTCCAGATTACAATGGCACATCTATGAGCAAGCTCCGGCTGTACTGTGTTCACCAAGGTGATGGCGATGGTGCTATGCCTTCACAGCGCCAGAAGCATCCTCCACATAACTTATGAGTCATTTAGATAAAAGGCTTTGTCAGGAGTTCACTCTTGAGTGCGGACTTGGGGTGTGTGTGTGAGAGACTGATGGAGTTGAATCTCATTGTGCTTTTCCTTTTACACCGAGTAGTTTGAATGTCTGCATGCCGTATAATGAACTACAAGGCGGTAGACTGCGATGATGGCCTCACATTTCACCAGCTACCTCTGCGTGTTTAGAACAATTCCTCATGTCCTCCATCAAGACTGGGTTACTACAGCTCCCCTTCCCGTGCAAGAGTCCCCTGCTGCAATCAGTCTCAGCAATATCACACTCTCTATTCTGGGAACCTTATCTCATGTTATTTTAGCTTCATTTGTGCTATACATCAGATCACTACAGTGGTATTTTTTATTTTTTTAATCCTAGAGTTTTCACGGCTAGGTTATTTTCCCCCCAGATGTTTATATTCCTTTTCCAATATAGATCACTTTGTCCCAATCTGGTGAACCATGTCTTTCTGATGTTTGAATTATAGCCTGACTCTTCGCTTATCTTTTCTATCAGATACTTGAATTTTGTTCTTTCTCTTTCCTAGGCCTATGAACTCTCCACCCTGACGGGAACCCAGGTTCTGCTGCTTGTGGCCAGTGAAACGGGCCACGTCTACACCTTTGCCACCCGCAAACTCCAACCCATGATCACAAGTGAAACAGGCAAGGCCCTGATCCAAACGTGCCTCAACTCACCGGACTCACCACCACGCTCTGACCCCTCCATGGACCAGCGCATGAGTGCTACGGGCTTTGAGGAGACGGACCTCACCTACCAGGTGTCTGAGTCGGAGAGCATGGGCGACACAAAGGTGAAAATCAAAAAGTGGAAAGGTCTGCTGTTGTAGACCGGTCTCCCAGGCGGTCAAGACAAAAAATTAAGAATACACTCCATCTCTTCAGGGTAGATCATAGTGTGGCTGCAGCGGTGAATCCCCGAAATCGAATGCACCCATTTCAGTAACTTGCCACAGCCCATTTCCCCTTCTTTCAGCAACAATGGTACTCAAGTTGAAGTCTTTGTTACTTACTGACTGTCTGCTTCTAATGGAGACATAAATTGCAGTGTGAATTTAAAAAAGGGGAACAAAGAACTGATAAAGCACCATAGAGAGTCACTAATGGATATAGTGGGAAATCTCTCCAAAAAAGGCTAGGGAAGCAAATGAGGAGAGCAAATAAATCAAACCCGCTTTGTGGAAAAAAATCTTTGTCCTATTGTAAACACAGTTTTGAACTTTTGCCTGTTATACATGAGGCTTCTGTTTTGGGCTTGTGGTTTGGTTGTGAGCACCAAGTCTATTTTTTCTTTTTTTAATTAAACCAAAAAGTTTCAGTAGTCCTTCAAAGAGCTCCAGACTGAAAGGAGAGCCAGATAATATGTAGAGTATTATACTACTTACTAAAGGGAGCTGTCTACACTTTACCTTTCTGACCTCTCCTCCAGGAAAGCCTTGTAACACTCAAAGATAAATCACAGCAGGTCTGGGTTGTGTTACGGTGAGAAACATGTAGCCTGCTATATGGAGGACTTTGGTGTTTATCTTTGATTTTGGGATGGTGCTCTCTTGTGTTCATGGGTGAAACACTGAGATAAGTTAAACAGAACTTTTATATTTCAGAAAATATTGGGTCACACATTTTGTGAAGTTTTCAAACTGGTTAACCTAATAAATCACCATGACAGAAATAAGTTTTAATTTTAGGATGTAGGATATTTTCAAATAATCCATTTCTATCCTGAAATCCTCCATAATAATTATAAAAAAGGTTATGTGACCTATTCTCATCCCAAATGAAAAGCCCTGTATTTCCCATTACATTACTGCAACCTCGGGACACACTTAGCTGTCCACACCTTGGTGCAATCACGTGCTGGAAGCCGAGATTCCCTCTACTGTTTACACGGCTTAAGTACACCCCTTTGAAGACGGACACTTCCAGGCCTATTTGCCTGCGTGCTGTTTTAACAAGGCACTAACTAACACGTACCATACACCGTCAAGGATGGGAGATCAACCTTTGCATGTTAAGCCACTCTCATGCCCGCTCTCCTCATTGATAAAAATTAGATTCTGCCTCTGTTGCCATATATGGTATGGTTTCCCTGCCTGCTCTCTTGGCTGAGGCCCCTCACATTCCTTATAAGCTGCAGCTGTCTTTGGAGTCCTGTGATCCCCCCCATAACCCCCCCCCCCACTCATTTAGTGATATGGAGGGAGGTATGGATGTAGATATGAGCAGGTGGAACTGAAACATTTGAGTGATACTATATGTCCAGTTTAACGTAACGTCTATTTAGGTGGCTGGCAGTGACACTGTGGCCTCTGTCCCCGCTGTGATTGTGAGTGTGGGAGACCAGCAGTGGCCCTGTGAACACCGCTCACAGACGAACACACTAAGAGTCGTCGCCGCGTGATCTATGTCAGGATCAGCACTGTTATGGTTAGGACGTGGCAGGTGGATGCGGATTTCGAAGGGATCACTTGTGTGCAGTTGGTCCAATGCATGCACCTCTGCAGCGTCTGGACACTATCCATCAAGGGCGTACCATGTCATACATACAGTCGGAGCTAGTCTAAACAGTTCAGAGTTTGCAATGGCTGGTGGGGGAAGTGGAGGACATTTTGGAGCAGCAGAAGTGAGAGGCTTGGGAGATAAGTGAAGCAGACGGGATTTAGGGCCGTAAGCATTACTCATGAAGTCATGTGACAGTAGAAATTCTCGTGTAGAAGTTTGTTTCCTGTATTAAAACTCCTGATAAATGGAAAGATCACAAAATACAATTGGTGATGTAACTCTGCATCCACACTGCTATAGTGAAGTTTGATGAATTTTTCAGTGCTTTAAAAAGTTTTATTGGAGATCTACTGATTCAACATTTAATCTCCCGATAATGATTATGATACCTAAACTCAGGGTATTTTTCAATACAGAGTACTGATCCAGTAGCTAGCATAAAGTGATAAATAATGCATTATGTTCTAGGAATTACTGTGATAATTAAATGGGAGTCAGTATCCCTGAGCTGAAACCCCCCCCTTTTTTTTATTTTATTATTTTTTTAAATGACGTTGTAGTAAGAAATTGTATTTATATCCGATCCGATTAAAAATGGCAGTGTCGGCTTTCAGCACCGATACTGTTCTGGTGGATTGGATCTGTGCATCTTTTAATCAATATTTAATGTTTTGGTGCTAGTCTACCAAAATAAAAGCCTAACAAAACCATCCCAAAATGTTTACCAGATAACATCATGGATGAATTTCACATAGAAGGTTTCCCTCTGAATTTCAGCATGGAAAAACATGCCCAGTGCTCGAGTAAATCATATTGAATTTCTCCTGAACTAGTGAGCAACAGGTTGTGCAATTTCAGAGTCATGCTTTGTGTCACCCCACAATTTTTATTTTTTTGTAGTTGGCTTTGTGCGTGTTTGAGTTCAAAAAGCTGCGAGTCACATTATTATCATCTCATCATCTGCTGAGTGGTCTGATATATCCGAATGAAGAATATGTGTATTACTCCACTGAGATAGTGTATTTAGTTGAGCAGAATGCAGTGTTAACATGATATCATGTTTAAGGTGCTCGACTCACTTTGTCTGGTAAACCCTGGCTTTTCTATTGCTGATGCTCTCGGAGCACACATTAAGCACATAAAACCAACAGCTGAAGGCAAAATGTTGAAGACCTCTAAGAGCTGTAGAAAGGCATTCTGGGAAACGCAGTGTCGGACGTTGTGGTGAATGAGGTAGGTCAAGGGAAAAGGGGTTTACAACAATCACTACTTCACAAAGAGAGGGTACATTTGTTGTTATTGTGGCATCCCCCCATAGATCTTTGGATTGTTTATGGCTTCTGTGGCTGCGTGTTAATATCAGACATGCCTACAGTGCAGATGTTTTTGTGCTTTCGGGTTATTTTTGGAAGGGGATGGCAAATCCCACAACTCATGTTTGCATAGAGGATCTAGTTTAGGATAGATTTCTCAGTATCATAGTCAGTCTCTCTCTCTCTCTCTCTCTCTCTCTCTTCCCCCCCCCTCCTGTCAGTGCTATTGCTGTTGTAATCCTGTTGAAGTTTCTTTTGCTTTGCTCATTAGCACAGATCATATTGTCTTTGCCTCTGAAAACGTTCAGACTGACGCCACCGTCCCGCCCGACAGCTGACATGTTTGATTTCCCTGCAGATTTAACATATTCCACACATATAAACGTGTATGCAATTGAATTTGTCGCCCTAGAGAAAGGACAGTGAGTTGATCATTAATTCACAGTTTTAAATGGGGAACGGTACTTAAGACAGTCATTTCTCTTTTTCCAATTTTCTTCCGTCCTTCAGTCTAAACGTTGCCGCTGTGGCAGAGCAGTGGCTTGAAGTAGGTGACATGAGAGAATCACAGAGATAATGGAAAGTTAATTTACTCAGATATGTGCTCTTATCACAAGGCTGCTCTTAAACAGACTGCGTGAAGAGAGAGAGAGAGAGAGAGAGAGAGAGGTGGTGGTGGTGTCAGAGGGAGAGCAGTGTGTTGGCTGTCTTAGAAGGGAGGAAAGCAACGTTATGTCACCCCCCCACCCCCTTGTTTTACAGCAAGCAACTGGACAGGTCAGCCGCCATTGGCTGCACCTCCTCCACTTGGGCTGCCTTGCCTTTTTTAGCAGTCCCAAATGGAGCTGCAAATTCCATGTTGCTGGCAGGGTGACAGACTGGGAGATCGGAGCCAGCAAATGGGAGATTAGACGAGGACCAGGCACCAGTAAACTGCACAATGGGCTCTCCAACCAACACTGGACTAGCCTGCCAGTTGTCACCTTCAATTTGGAATGATTAATCTCTGATGAATAGGGAGTCATTTGTGTCCTTCTCTTTTTAATTACTCTCTCATGTCCTTCTCCTTTTTAAATGGGGTCTTTCGTATGATGTCTGTGAATGTTAGGAGGGCAATGGAGGCTTTTATTCTTTTACCATATATAGAACCCTTGAGAACACAGAACATTTTGGAAACCAACCTTTTGAAAGGACTTTTAAAGAGCTCCTTATCCTTTTTGTCTTAGGATTGCTCATATGTTCACTGTGGTTATAGGATGGGTAGAATGTGTAGTACTTGAGATCTGTCTATTGCTGGAGTAAAATATTTTCTCTCTCTTGTAAAACTGATTACTTAGCATGTTGTAGAGGGTGCTCTCAGTGGCTGTGTGGTGTGAGTCCTTATTCTAGACGACTCAGCCCTCCATGCGCACAACTATAAATTGTGATTTCATTTGTTACGTTCTGGTACATCATTATAATAAGTGGTGTGTTTTTTTTTATTGTTTTTTTTTTCCAAAGCAAGGAGAGAAGTAGTGAAGTTGATTTTTGAAAACAAGTAGTAAAAAAGGGATAAAATTTAAACCAACTTTTGTATAAGTGAAAGAAAATCTCATCACCATTTCCTCTCAGGCTTACAAATCCTGCCACAGCCCATACAAACAAATCCTGCCACAGCCCATACAAATACAAATCGTTATAGTCATAACTCAGAATATCCAACTCAACTAGAATCAAATAGAATGAAGTATAGAGTAATATGTACTATAGGGCTGCAACTAACGGTTGTATTGACTTAATTTGCCTGCTATTTTCCAGATAAGTCAGTTCCCCATCACAAGTTCCCAGTATTTGTAACTGACAAAGTCCAGTTTAGTCTAGTAAAACTAAGGAAAGCAGCAAATCCTCCCAATTTAAAAAGTTTTAATTAGGGTATTAAGTTTGGCACATTTGCTTTAAAAAAGACTTCATCATTCATTTTCAAAATGGCTGCAAATGAT